GAGAAGAAATTGGACAGCCATTTAGCTGAAATGTTATAGGGCTTCCTTTCTGAGCAGGGGGTTGGGCTAGAAGACCTCCAAGATCCCTACCAACTCTGTTACAGTATTCTGCTCCATGGTTCTCAAATTTCCAAAGCAAAGTTATACACCAAGTTGAATGGCTGCGCTTCACACAAGTCCTAATTTTAGGTAATAATACGGACAATTCTGAATATTTGTTTGAAGAAATATTTGGGGCAAGTTTTATCAAGTTGATTGATTCTGAAGAATTTATAGTGCTTTTCAGAAAAATAATCCCACTTCTGAATCAACTGGTCTATTGCTCTATCATTTATTGATCTAGAAATCTGAGCCATTGGCTGAATGGAAGAAAACAAAGAAGAGAAAATTCTCTGCAAAGGTCATTCTTTGCAAAGCGGGAATGTTTCATCTCCTAATCCAGGCACAAATCAGAGGATTAGAAATTATTTTGTTGCCCAAAGTACCGCGATTCCATGCTTTATGGGACCATTCTTTTTCCATTTTAAAATTCTATGTTATTTTTCAATAATATTTGCTTATTTTTTGAACTATTGGTTACGAACAAGGCTTTTTAAAAAATGGTAACGTGGCAATGTATTTAGTTATTTTTTACTAGCCTTGCAGAATTCCTAGTCAAAGAATTACAAAAAGAACTGGTCTCTAGCAGTTACTACCACAGTGACATGTTGATTCCTATTTCTTGAATGACTTGTTAGAAAATTATTTAGTCTAAACTCATAGTTGGTGGATTACCTAGCAGAACCAGTTAACCTATGGTCATTTCCTAAACAGAATTTGAGGGTAGAAATGACAAACCATTTTGTCCTAGTAGTATTCCACAGAGAAAGCTATGCTGGTTGAGAGTAACTTGAACCTGCTATTCTGTTTCCTATGTTGCACAGGAGCACAAAACTAATCCAATCCATAGAAGGGGGAAATAAAAGGAGAGAGAGCACTCTACACACCTGCTTTACTGCCTGAAAGAAAGGGAGAATACAAATCTAATAAGTTTTCCCTTTCTTACTTGATTTGGAGGTTCAACCGCTGTTTGAGCTCCATCATAAAAAAACAGGAAACTTCATTCTTTGTTTCTCTGTAACGATAAAATAATTACAAAATAAGAGGAAGTAACAGAAGTGAAGAAGGTAAGACAAATGGGATCTCTCTGGGTAATGGGAGGATCTTGGATTACCTTCAGTGGTGTCTCGACATGGATCTTCGCAAGGGATCCTCCTGAAAAATAGCTCCTGAGGGGGATTTGATGGATTCTTCTTTCCCTCAGGATCTCTGATCTCCACAGTGCAGCACTTCAAATAGGAGGAAGGAAAAAAGAAACAGAATTAATGTATATCACAAAATAAAGTGGAACACAATATCCGGAACACAACCTCAAAGCCCCCAATATCCATCAACATGGTTGAGTGAGAAAACAATGGTCCTACAAGAATTGGTGGGAAATATTATGAATGTCGGAGAAGTTTGGAAAGGAGGGGTGAAATATTCAAACATATTTTCTATTCCCTTCTGAGCTCCCTAGATTAAAATCTCTCACCTGCAACTTGACCTGCTCCTTCTGGTCGTCCGCCTGGCTCAGGAGGAAGCCTTCCGCCAGGACCACAGCCTGGGAACTGGTCTCTGCTCCACACTCCCTCACCCAACCCTCCATCTCTGGGGGCAGAAGGAACAGGAGCTGCTCCAGAACAACCAGATCCAGCATCTGAGCTTTGGTGTACTTTTCTGGTCTCAGCCATCGCCTACAAAAGTAATGGAGTCGGCTGCAAAGTCCTCGGGGGCCCTCAGCCTCCTGGTATTGGATCAAGTTCCAGGGCTGGACTTCTGAAGGGAGGATGGTTTCCTCTTCCAGGATCTTCTGCCCAGGTCTTGTCAAGATCTCACCACCCTTCCCAGGCTGAACAGTTGAAGGGCCTTTTCCATTCCCCTCCTTTGCAAAAGGTTGTGTCTCCATCCTTTCTCTCTTCTGCAGAGCAAATCCAAATGGGTCCAAGGACTCTTGTGGATCTCCAGATGCTTTTTTCTTCAAAGGACCATTTCTGGGGCCGCAGGATTCATCCCTGCAAATTATTCCGCTCTTTTTTTTCTTTTACCCCTCCGGAGACAGGATCGGGCCCTCGGGGAGCCGGGTGCCAATCCTCCCTCTCCTCGCCCGGCTTCTCTCCTCTCCTGCTGGGCTTCCGCAAGGCCGACCCTCCTCTTCCCCCACTCGGGCTCTTCCTATGGAGAGGTCGGCTGGGGAGCATGGCACCCGGGGTTGAACCCGCAGGAGGGCCGGGCGCGGCTGTCTCCCTCCTCCGTCTCCCTTTGTAAGGGAAGAGACTCCCCTCACCCGGAGCAAGTGCGTATCTCCCCCAGCAAGACTCTCCCGCAGCAACTCCCCGAGTTCTGTGGAGCCCCGGGGGTTAAGGCGAGCGAGTGCGGCATCCTAGAACGGCGAGCATTTGTTCCTTCCCAGCCTCTCCTACAAAAACAGCTGTGACTTTCGCCCTTCATAGAGCCAATGGGGAAGCGCCGGGAGTTCCCTTCCCGTGGCGGAGGGCTCCCCCTGGTGGATTTGGGATAAAGTGTCACGATTCTAGAAAAGGCGGGAAAGAGGAGTGCGTCTGAGAGGAAAAGGGTGGGCAGGGATGATGGGCATGGGAGTAGGTGAAAGGCCCCTCTGAATGTCTCCGTGTCCGACATGGCGACCCTGAACGAAAAGAAAAAAGAAAACCAGTCCCAAAATGGAGGAAAACTTGAAACCTCTGGATATTCTAGAAATTTTACCTGGTAATGAAGCTACTTAATTGAGAAATGAAGAGGGGAAAATGTTGCTTCATCTCTGACTGGAGAAAAAGTGGAATTACAAAATTAAGAAAAGAACATCGTGAAGAAGGAGTATAAAGTAAATGGATCTTGAGCCCATCATCTAGGGCAGGGGTGTGAAACTCCCGGCCTGCAGGCTGG